TACGATTATTCTGGAAGCAGAGGGAAAGGATATGTACACACAGATTGTGACGTATTGCTAAAATAAAAATGTAGACGATGGGACAGTATAAGTAGTTATCTACCTAGAATTTTTATCCAGATCTCCCAAGGAGCTGAGTGTGGCATATATGGTTCTTCCTTCCCCCCACACTCACTCTCACAACAAGACTGAGAGGTGGGCAAGGCCAAGAGAGAACAGGAACAGTTTCCCAGACCCTACACCGACACTCTCATCACTATTCCACACTGGCTATGTAGTACAAGTCTGGAGACTTAACCACATTTTACTACATAGCCTTATCATGAATTACTGAGATATCTCCACACTCTCATCTTTCTTCCCAGCTGCCCCACAGCAGCCATTCTGGGAATGGATTCCTGTGCCTGATAACTGCATTCCTGAGCAGCTTTCTTCCTCTTCGCCACTGAAGGCTTAAGAGAACTTGAGATTCTCACCACAGCTCCATAAGTGTTTATCAAAGATAAAAGTATGACGTGACTGTGCCGAGTCACACTCTGCTTCAGTTATTCAGGGTTTACTTGACACCTGAATTCAGGTAGCGCTGCCAGGGATTCATTGTTCACAACAAGAAATGGATCATACCAGGCCACCAGTTACTTTAGCCCTTCTGTTTTGACAAAGCCACTGGGGACAAGCCCAAGGTGCTTCCCAAAGGCTTGCATTCCAGTGGCTGGAAAACAGGAGCCCAGGGGTCAATCCCCAGGGCACATTCTTTGTGTGAAATCTCTGCGGCCCAAGATGTCTGCCAGGCTTGAATGAATTCACAACAAATTGGGAGAGAATAAGCTCAGCAGGAGGCAATCCTTAAACAAAACCCATGATGAGAAAAGGAAAAAGAAACCTTCTTCTGAAGGGGTGGGGGAGGCTTTCTAAGGCTGAATTGGGGTCAAGAGATTGGATCACACCTGCGTGACCCAAATCACACATGAGAACATTCAAACATTCAAAGATATCCCTCCCCTTTATCAACGGTGCGATCTTCAATGTGTTTTCTTCCTATATTTTCCCCTTGACTCAGGACAGCTCCATAACATATAGTTACCACACACCTTCATTGATAGTTATTCATGTTGCCACCCAGGGGAAACAGATCCTCCTGCCTCCTGACGGGGCATGTCCCTACAAATGTTGCACATTCCTCTTTGATGATGCAGGGCCTGCCTTTCCATGCTGAGATTCAGCCTTGGCACACATGAGGCAATATGAAGGGGAAAAGTGACACTGAGCGCATACAGACTGTTCTTCCTTTACTATGGATAAAGTGACATACACCATGCATTTGACAAACTGACCTATTATTTATATTTATTTATTACTTTCAATTTATATCCCGGCTTTAGATTCAGGTGGGTAGCTGAGTTGGTCTGAAGCAACAGAACAAAGTTTGAGTCCAGTGTCACCTTTAAAATCAACAAAGATTAGTTCTGGGCACCTTTAAGATCAACAAAGTTTAATTCTGGGTATATGCACACGAACGCTTATACCCAGATTAACACTTTGTTGGTCTTAAAGGTGCCACTGGACTCAAACTTTGTTCTATTAATTTAGATATTTATATTCAGTTTTTCTCCTCAATGGAGAGTCAAAGTAGCCGCCCTTCCTCCACTTTATCCTCAGAACAACAACCTTGTGAGGTAGGTTAGGCTAAGAAATCGATGAGCCCAAAGTCACCCAAGTGAGCTTCTGTGACAGAGTAAGGACTCAAACCTGTGACCCCCAGATCCTAGTACAACACATTTAACCATGATACCACCCTGGACTCCCATCTTATCTCACCACTGAATAATCACTACAAGCGGCACAAAAACTCCAATTTGGAAAGCACAGGAAAGACTCCCTTCCTTTTAGAACGACCTAGCGTTAGTTGCCTGTGGGATGGTTTATGACTTTTTTTATTTTCAATATCAATCCACTAGAGCTGTAGTCCAGCCTTGAAAAAAGCACCCGAGGTCTGCCTCAGATAAAACATACCCTATAATACTGCAGGACAACCCAAGGTTCGCTTCCGATTTAGAACAACTGAAAAGCGTGACATAAATGAATAAAATAAAGAGGGTAGGAAAAATGATAAAAAAAATAAATTCCCAGGGAGCCGAATCCCTGGTGTGCGGGATGCTGCTCGGTCCCATGCCCCAGGAGAGCCCCATATACACCTAAGGGACGCACATCCGCCTCTGCACCTGATGAAGGGAGCCCTTCACACTACGAAGCGCAGACGCGCGGGTATAATTTTTGTGCGCCTTTAAGGTGCCCCTGGGACTCCCGCCTGCTTTTGCCACAACGTTGTAAAGAGGGCTACTACCCATCTGGAACGGGACTTTCCTCCTCCCGTGGAGCGCGGCGAGGAGGATTTCCTCTCAGCCCGCGTGGGAAGGACTTACAATCTCCAGCACCATGAGGATCCCGGGCAGAGTCCTCAGGAAGTCCCTGTCGTAAGCGAGGGCGCTGGAGGTGGACGCGAAGTTGACCGTGAAGGAGCTGGCGGTGGTGGTGACGGTGTGCGGGCGAGGGCGCTGCAGCTGGGGCGGCGGCAGCGGCTGCTGGTGGTGCTGCAGGTGGTGGTGGTGGTGGGGCTCGTGGGGTTCCATCTTCCGCCGGGCGAACCACAACTCCCAGGGGGCCACCGGCGCCCGCCCGCGCCCCTCCTCAAGGGCTCTGAAGAGCGGCCCCGCGGCGTGGCCGAGGGCTGTGCGGTGCGGTGCGGGAGGCGCGTTGCGCGCGGGGCCGCTCGGGAAGGTCCGGCAGCGCCAAGGAGACGGCGAGCGAGGCAGAGGCGGCTTTGTGTGTGGCGGCGCCGCCCGCGAGGAGGCTTCGCTGGGTTCCAGGGGGCAGAGCTAAGGCCGGAGGGGGCTGGAACCCGTCTCGGGGCGGGCGAGAGGCGGGCCCTCCCAACCACCCCCTCACATGGCATTGTTGTCGTTTCCAGGGTGGAAGGGAGGTGCGCTGCCCAGTTCCCCCACGCGGAATGGGTCTGCTCGTTTTAAAGCTCAGGCTGTACGGTTTCGGATCCACTTAACAATCGCCCCGATGGCCGAAAGGTCGAAAAGGCATTATAAAGCCGCTTGAGGGGGGACCGCCTGATGTGCGCATACCACGCAGGCGGTGGTTGGGTTTCACACGCAAAGTGTATGCCAGTGTACGTGCGAGGCTACTGATTTGGGTGATGTGCTTTAAATGCGCTGGGGTGGTGCTGTTTTTGGAGGGGCACGTTACTTTGAAACTTAAATTCATAAACGTTACTTTGTATTGCATTTTTTACTTAAGAGCGTGTTTTTAGAAGGGTTGACAGGTGCTACTACAAATAAATCAAGTGTATTACTGGGTCTTTTGAATCTAGGGTTGTATTACGGGGCCTGTATGCATGGTGGGCCCTGACCTGGATAGCTTGACTTGGACTTCGCCCCTTTCAGAATGCAAGTTCTGCATCAGCTGCCCTGAGCCCCTGCCAGATCTCATGCCCTATTTTGCTACTTTCAGAAGTAGTGATTTTTGTGAGTGAATCGCCTATGGAAAAAGTAATGCTGGGGTAGATCACCATGTGGTGGTGGTGGTAATGAATGTGAAAACTGAAACACATTTAAAAAAAAAAAAAAAGTACATAGCACAGTCCTTCAAGAAGTTGAATTTCAGAATAGAGATGGAGACCTGGAAAAGTGGATGCACCAGCTCATCAAATCCACCTTACTCATCAAAAGCAAAGCAGGTGTCCTGAGCTGGATAGCCCAGGCAAGCCCAGTCTCATCAGATCTTGGAAGCTAGTAACGGGTTCCCTTGCTCGAAAGCCAGTCGAATCCGACTCTAGGGATGCGGTGCTCATCTCCGTTTCCAAGCCGAAGAGCCAGCGCTATCCAAAGACATTTCCGTGGTCAAGTGGCCGGCATGACTAGATGCCAAGGCGCACGGAACACTGTTACCTTCCCACCGAAGCGGGACCTATTTATCTACTTGCAATTTCTTGCTTTCAAATTGCTAGGTTGGCAGGAGCTGGGACCAGAGACAGGCGCTCACTCCGTCATGCAGCACTCAGGTCTCGAACTGCTGAACTACCGACCTTCCAGCCTGCAGTTCAGTGTCTTAGCCACTTGACCCACCATAGCCCCTAAGCAGTGTCAACTCTGGCAAGTACTTGAATGGGAAACCTCCTTGGAATACCAGAAGTGGGGGCAGGCCTTATTCAGACATCTCTCACCTCCAGGTCCCCGGTAAGGGTCATTCACCAGAGGTCAGCATGGCTTCCAGGTACAAGCACACACAATTTAAAAAAAAAAAAAAAAAAGGAAGGAGTCACTTCTCTTCTGTGTTAAATTTCTCTGTTTGTTTTCACAGAAGGACTAAACACTATTTAACAACCTCTATGCGGCCTTTCCCTTCCACAAGCAGTTTTTACAGAAGGACTAAACACTATTTAACAACCTCTATGCGGCCTTCCCCTTCCACAAGCAGATTCAGGTTTACAGACAGGTACGTGTACAAACTCACCTCAGTGGTGGCACAAAGACGTTAAGAAAGTCTTGTTAGAAATGGATGGGCATGGGGTAAATCCAGCTGTTCCCAGTCGTTTTCTTTCCAGCCCGGGATGCGGGACAGGCTCAATGGCAAACTGGGAGACTAAAACAGCCCTAGGGAAAGCTAAGCCAAATGGCACATCTGCTGCCAGCTTCTGGGTGAGCCTACACCTGACCTTATCATCGCTGTGGCCTGGGTCCATGGGATGCAGCTGCTGTGGTGCTGTCGGTCCCTCGGGGACTGCCTGGCTCTGCTGGCTCCTGGCTTCCAGTGGCCCTCCGGGGCAGCAGCCCACCAGGAACTTTCCCAGGAAGTTCAAGAGCCAACCTGCTCCCTTCTCCTTCGCAGCTGTTAATGCAAGCCACACATCAGAGCCTTGAGAAGATCTTCTTCAGATCCCCTGAGGCTGAACATGTGCTTTCCTTGCCTGCGTACTGATGGTGTGACTATGGCCCAAGGGAGAGTAACATCCTGGTTGTTGTTATTTGTGTTTTTTTTCTGAATAAGGAGGGACTCTGTATTATCCCCCTCAGCTCTGGAACATAATAGCCCTACAGACATTCTCAGGTGTATAGGAGAGGAGTGGGGGGTGGAGCATGAGCACCTGTGCCATTGTGCAAGTGTGCCAGACCTCCACGCTTTGAATTTTCTACCTGCACAGGGAGCCTAGGAGGCAGTAGAACTTAAAAATGTAGCCATTCCCACCATATATAGGCTGAGATAATGTGATCTGTACACCACTAAACAGAAAGGTATAAATTGAATGATTTGCATCTATTGTGTCGTATGTTTTAAACACAGACCACTGCAGATATGATGCCCAATGTGTGGACGTGGAGCATATTAAGGGACTGTGACCAATGCTCCCTCTAAGCTGTGGAGTCTTGTGAGCAAAAATTCTATTTTGTGAGCTACTGGCATTAAAGTTGTGAGCAGGCGATTTGGCTGCTGCATAAATTGGTTTGCTCTGGAGCCATCCTTCCTGAGCTAAGACAAAAATGTGTGAGCCAGAAGCTCAAAAACCGTGAGCTAGCTCACACTAACTCAGCTTAGAGGGAACATTAACTGTGACTGTCAGGCATTGCTATGACCCCCTCCTCCACAGGCGTACAAAAGACTGCCTGCATAATGCTTATGAGTTTGATAGAAATCTTCAGATTACTTATTCCTATTTCTGTCTCTCGCTTTGCATGAGAGCCACTTGAAGAAATACAATGGTGCACTCAGCATATAAAACTGGGGGACTGGGGTCCACTTGTGTGACTCATAAATGATGGAATATAATTCCATTGTCCAGCCCTTGAAGCTCCTACCCTTCAAGGATTTCATTGGAGAAGTAATTTGTTTCCCACAGTCTGTGCTTTGTGCACTGAGGGCTAAGTACGCCGTCACTTTTAGACAACAGAAATAAATTGCTTTCAGAATAGAAGAGCAGTTCTTTGTTTACTCCCAGCAGGAAATTTGGCACATATTTCACAAACTGGCAAGGGTTAATGTAGCTTTCCTAAACATATCAAAGCAATTATCCCACCAGGAAATGTTTCCTACCTGACTGCCATGCTGCATTTGAGTCCCACTGACTGAAATTCTGCTAGAATTAGATGCCTAGTCCCTCTTGCAGTTCTTTTAAATGGTACCCCTGGGTAGCCATCTGGCACTCTTAATTTGCAGGTTTCCTTCCAGCAGACAGATCCTTGCAAAAAAATAAGTTCCAGCCAATGTAACACCTCACTAAAGTTCACTTAGCAGCCACACATCTAAGACAATAATGTTTGCTACTTAGCCTATTGTATCTTGAAGAGGCCTGGAGTCTTCCAAGAGTCGCTCTCCCCCCCCCCTTCTGTGTCTTGTTACTTTGAAGAGCAAAACAGAAAATTGTTGAGACCCACTGAGCAAGCCTATATTTTCTTACATGTAGATAGCATCAGAGACAAAATAATTGAATACTGCAGCTTGAACAATCACCCTTTTATTGCTGTGCGGTCAGAACGAAAGCAGGGGCCCATTTACCTTATTTCCATAATGGACCTTTCAAGGAAGAGAACAGCAGGATCAGTAGAACTCAAATGAACACTTAAGTCTATATTTACCTGAAACTGTACGTCACCACACACTGAAATTATAAGAGCAAGCATGCCCCAATTCTAATGCAGCACAACGTACATCTATCTGAAGCATCACATACTAGTGTGGTGTAGAGTATAGGGGCCGTGATCCAGAAAAAAATACTGTCCAACTGTCAACAGGGAACTCTTGTCAAGATGTGCACGACTTACTGCCAGAGGAAATCAGCATAGCTTGTCTAGACAAAAAATTGCAGGAGACATACTCTTGAGATGACCATGAGAAGACGTGGATGGATTCACTACCTACAAGGGTCCTACCAGGATGTCCTACCAGGGTCTTTAAATAACCCAGAATGCAGATGAATTACCATTAATTATGCAATTGGTGGTGGTAGAAAGTGTCGTCCAGTCACAGGTGATTTATGGCAACCCCCTAGGGTTTTCAAGGCAGGAGACAAACAGAGCTGTCTCGCGGAGGCACTTCCATTGTGGATGGTTCCTTCGGCTATTCCACAAGAGCACCTTCTGGTACAGGTGTAGTAGAACTATCCCCCACTTGGGCTGCAGGAGATGGTGTCATGGGCTGTTCTGAGCATGTTGGCCTGGTCATTCAAGAAGTGTGCATGAAGACGAAAGCTTATACCTTTAATAAAACTTTGTTGGTCTTAAAGTTGCCACTGGACTTCGTTCATGCAAGTTGGAGTTACTCCTGAGCCCCATAGCTGATTGATGTGAAGGCACCACAGTGTGCTGGGTGATACTTCTACTGTGTAAGATAAAGGACCTGTCTGGTGGTGGATAATAGCAGGGCACCACTTGTAATCATGTGCCAGCACTGCCTGACCCAATTGCAGCTGACAGGGTGCGCTGCATCCTCTGACAGGTGGTTGACCAAATTGTTGCTTCTCTACATGCATATGTAACTCAGGCTCAACAAATCCAGATGTGAGCATAGATGCCTCCCTGTAAACAGCATTGCTAGTGACTGACCAGTGGTGGCATGAGGAACAATAATAAAAACTGTGCTAGCTGCTGCTACAAAGAGCCATAGCTTTCAAGGCTCATTTCAAGGTTTGTACAAATCTTTCCACCAGTCCATTTGTGGTTGGGTGATACGATGCAGGTTTGTTTATTTATATTTATTTATTTAATCTGATTTATATTGTGCCCTCCCATGCAAGCGGGCTCTGGGT